GTATGAATATATATAAGGTATATGTATGTCTATTTATGTGCATATATATGCACATATAGGCATACGTGCGCATGGACATAAGTATGTATATATATACATGTATATAGATATAACTACATATATGTAAATATATGAAAAATAAACGGTAGAAAGTGACTCAGTGCTCACTGTTAGGTAGGGTATCCGAACTCATGATCTGATGAGATCGAAAAAACACCTTAGTTTGTTTTCTAGAGATAAATTTTGGTGGGGTAAGAATGACTCCAAGATTATACCAGTTTATATCTGGCTGGAGAGTTTGTTACCGTCGTCATTGACTCCCCATGCCAGTTTGCTTGGCGTCGACTGGCCGGGTCACAGCCGCCTTCGAATCCCTGGGCTCGTCGTTAACTGGTCCGAGATATTATTCCTTCCCGTATATATTGGGTCTTAAGTTGGCCGTCGTTCCGCTTCCGAATAAATGTGGATCTTTCACTGGTCTGAGCGCACAACTATCAAATGAATAAATGTGAGGATATGGAATCAAAGGAGCATGGGAAAGGATGCCGAAACTGAAGTCCAGAGAAATTGATGGGTCGCAATAATAATGACAACAACGTGCTACTCACTGGCCAAGAGTAGTCGGATGTTTACGCGAGTTCTTGTTAAGAGAATCCATTGCCTTTCGGACTTCACCTCTTGTCCTTGAAATTTGTTTAGATTCTTTCGACCAGGTTAAAAAATGTATCGTTGCGCATTGGCCAACATCCATTTAATGTACGATTGGTTGTGGAACACTCACAGTGGTGGAAGCGATTATTGTCCATTCTTTGGAAGTAAAAAAAACCTAAAGCCGATATCCAGGACATAAAGTTAGGTGGGCGTTACGTGAGCGATTCATCCAATAAAATCAACAGTCCACCGCAAATTCTGTGCTGCAATGCACATCGCATGTTTCCGAGGTCAGTAGTAACTGTAGAAGACAGGTTAAAAGAACCTGCGTGTATTATTCTCCCTCTCACCAAATGCTGGCTGTGGGCGAGGCATCGACTCTGGGCAATACAACCAACTGCTTCGAGTGGTGCAGACAGAAATCAAGTTAAACTATTTGCCAGTCTGAAAATATGAAGTTGTTACCAGCGGTTCGTTATTTTGCGACCAAACTTGTGAGAAGTATATTCATCAGTTCTTTTAGGGTGGCTCGGCCAAAAGCCCGACCGAGTCACCCCTACCATGACACTGGTCACGTGAGTAATGCGACCGATTCGTTTCACTTTGTCTGCAGAGTACCACCGACCGGGCTTAAATACAACCGAAGCTTTAAAGAATTATTCGCAAAACCTCTGAGTCAGGCTTGGTTATGTGACACGAATCGATCGACCCCGGCGCTCACCGGTACCCTAGATATAACGGATGTCGGCATTATCGCTGGAGTCATTAACGGAGTTATTCTACGTCCTCTGAAGATAAAGCGTGAGATTTAATGAGTTCTGGTGCTGTGGGGATGGATCAATGAGTGCATTTTGTCTTCTGTGTAATCTGGAAGATAGCAAGTTATCTTAGAACACGGGTGAATGCTCGCATCCGAGAACAGACTACAAATACATAAAGGCTGGGGATACGATTATCAACTGCACAAGAAAAGTGTACTCGTGGAGGAACGGATTCGGGTGGTTGAGGATGATTGTTCAAAACGAAGTGTTTTTCCAGGCCACGTAGGATAGAAACAAAGTGTGAACTTGATATACTCAGGATGCTGAGCGCTAAATTCGCCAACCTGATCCTCACCAGGAGAACATCGTGACATCATTGTTCAACATTGATGGTTCGCTACCATATAACCATAATCAATTTGAAGACATTGTTGTGATGAAAAGAATGATAGTGGTTGGAGAGGGGACCACACAGTGATAGCCTACAACAATCGTCCCTCTAGCCACTCACTTAGCAGTCACTGCAACCAGGTTTAGTGCTAATCACGCGGTTCCCATCCTGGAAAGCGTACCGCACTGACCATACCCAGACTTTGTAGTCACATTCAGAGTTTGATAACGGGGTGAAGATTGACTGACTCTCTGCTTCAGCCACTGAAAACAGCCCTCACTTAAGTGAACGAGGATTGACGTGTGCAATACATGGCCTGACTAAAGCAGCTTTCGATGCTGGACACATTCTTCCTCACTGAGGATTTACTGACTTCATCCTATACGGCCTATGGTCCTGAGACACCTGAAGACATATCAGTCATAATCATCATCATTGTCAGATGTACTAACCATGTACTCGTCGTACAGTGGTTGTATCTGCCGCGGTTTCGTTCACCAATGATTAGGGGGTAGGTAGCTTCGCATTGCAGGCGGGAGATGATAAATTAGTGCGTAAGTACATCACTGTAGGTTGACTGGTAGGTGGGGAGATTTGGAAAGGAGCTATGCATTG